TGTGATGTTTCTTTCAACGATGTTTCAGTATATAAATTTTGCACCTGCTTCGTTAAATTTATTCCTAAATGTATTATTGATTGAAAATGGAATATTTTTCTTAATTTTATTTTCAGATTATTCATTGACAGTGTATAGAAATACAATTGACTTGTGAATTTGTATCCTGCAACTTTGCTGAACTCATCTGTAAGCTTGAACAGTTGTGTTTATTGTGGATTCTTGAGGGTTTTTATGTATAAGATCATGTCTTCTACAAACAGGTACTTTTCCTTTTTTCATTTACAATTCGGACGCCTCTTATTTCGTTCTTGCACGATTGCCCCGGTTAGAAATCCCAGTAGTGCTAATGAGTGGAAGTGACCAAAGTGAGCAACCTTGCCCTGCACCTGATCGTAGGGGAAAGGCTTTCTCGGTTTTTCACAGCTGCGCACGTTAGCTCCAGGCTTTTCATAAATGGCCTTTATTACGTTGAGGTAGTTTCCTTCTCTCCTTGGTCTGAGTGCTTCTATCATGAAAAGGTGCTGGGTTTTGTCAGTGCTCTTTCTGCACCAGTTGCGAGGATCGTGTTTGTCCCTCTACGCTCCCTTCACGTGGTGTGCTGCATGGGTTTTCAGAGGCTGAGCCACTCCTGCATTCCTGGGAGGCCTCGCGGTCACGGAGTACGATCCTTCCAGTATGCTGCTAAATCTGGGGTGCTAGCACCGCGCTGAGGATTTTTGCCTCAACATTTACAAGAGAGATTATTCTGCAGTTTTCTTTCCCCATTATTGTCTTTGTGTGGCTTCTTTATTAAGACAATACTGACCTTGTCCTGGCTGGTTTGGCTCAGTGGTTAGAGTGTTGACCCGAGGACTGAATGGTCTCAGGTTTGATTCTGGTCAAGGGCACATGCCTCCATTATAAGCTTGATCTCTGGCCTCAGACGAGGTGCATGTTTGAGGCAACCAATCGATGTTTCTGTGTCTCTGAAAAGCAATGGAAAAAATATCCTTGGGTGAAGATTAAAAAAAAGTTTAGCCCAGCAGGCGTGGCATCAACCTAGGATCCAGATCTCGGTTGGATTCCCAGTCAGGGCACATGCCTGGGTTGCGGGCTGGATCCCCAGTGGTGGGGTGTGCAGGAGGCAGCCGATCAATGACTCTCACCATTGATCTTTCCCTCTCCCTTCCTCTCCCTATAATCAACAAAAACATATTTTTTAAAAATACTGTTCTTTCCTACGTTTGGTAAAACCAACTAGTGAAGCCACCTGACCCTTGGCTTTTCTTCGCCGGGGTTTTGAATACTGTTTGAGTATCACATCTTATAGATCGACTCCTTTTCTACCTGCTCTGGAGTCAGCTTTGGTACTGTGTTTCCAGGAATCTGTCCATTTAGCCTGTTTTGTTGGCATTCAGGTGTTCACAGTCTTCCTCCTGTAGATTTCAGTCATTTGAGTCTCTCTTTTGTTCTCAATTTAGCTAAAGATCCATCAACCTTGTTGACCTTAAACAAACTTCTGTTGTCCTTGATTTTCTCCAGTATTTTATTCTATTTCACGTATCCCTGCTTGAATCTTTACTATTGCCCTTCTTCTGCCAGCTCTGGGTGCGGTTTCCTCTTCTTTCCCTAGTCCCTTAAGGCACACAATAGGTCATCGATTTGACCTTCTGTCCTAATGTAGACATTTACAATGGTAATACCCCAGCACTGTTTCACTGCATCCCATACATTCTGGTTTGCTGTGTTCTCATTTTCACTCTGCGAGGTATTTTCTAATCTCCTTCCTTAATCCATTGATTATTTAAAAGTGTGTTAATTTCCACATACTTCTGAGTTTTCCTGAATGTTTATGCCCTAAAGCCCAGTTATTTCACACTTAAGTATATGCTCACCCGCTGTGTGAGCAAAAGTGCACCCAAAGAAACATAGGTAGGGACTGAAAGAACAGATAAACTGAAGCATGTTCATCTAACAAAATACTACAAAGCAGGAAGGATGAACAAGCCTCACATGAACAAATCTTACAAACACAGCAAAAGAAGCCACTCCCCTCCAAAAAACACATTAAATGATTCCATCTACTTAAAGTTCAAAGAACAGGCAAAACTAAATTATGTAATAAAGGCTCTGTGTTCTAATTAAAACTCATTTACAGTGAAAGGAGTAATTTCTGTAAAAGTCACATTAGTGACGACCTTAGGGGAGAAGGCAGAGTGTATGGACCAGAAAGAGGGGCTCCCAAGGTACTGGCAGTACTGTTTCTTGTTGCAGCTGGCTGTCTCACGGGCATTTGCCTGATGGTAATTCATTAAACTGTATTTTTGAGATGATTCAGCAAGCTGTGTTTTTGTGTGTGCGTGTGTTCCATACTTCACAGTATAAAAGGTAAGTAAATAAATAAACGTATTGGCCTTGAGTTGGTAACAACATTAATCACCCCCTAAAAACAAAGGCAAATACTTTGTGGAGGAAACCACCTTCAACTCAGGTCTGAGTTTTCTGAGAGTGTATCACGTTACACGGGCTCAAAGTAAGGGAGAAAGAAGTTCACAGATCACACAAAGGAAGCCACCATGCGTGGGAGCCAGTAGCAATGAGGAGACTTCAGAACTGGACCTCAGACCTGGATCCTGGACTTGACATAGACAGACTATAAAACTAAGACGTTTCTAACAAAACATTAAAAATAAAAGGGAAGGCGTAAATTAACATTAGTGATGAAAAGATGCTGCAGAGATTATATTTTTGAAACGTTTCATGCCAAAAACTTATAAAGAGATGAAATGTATGAATTCCCAGAAACCTGAAACTTAATAGAACTGATTTTAAAAACTGTGAATAGTTCCCAAACATTAAAAAATAAAATCAAATCAGTATTTTAAACTCTTAATGATGCCTAGCTGGGTAGCTCACTTGGTTAGAGCACTGTCCCAATATGCCAAGGTTGCAGGTTCAATCCCCAGTCCCAGTACACACAAGAATAACCAATGAATGCATCAATAAGTGCAGCAACAAATCGATGTCTGTTTCTGTCTCACCAAAAATAAGTACATAAGTAAAATGAAATAAAATCTTTCCTCAATGAAAACAACAGCTCAGAGGCTCTACAGCTGAGTTCTACTAGTCATTCAAGGAAGAAGCCATTAGAACCGAGGATACGGGCAGGACACTGCTTGGTCCCACTGTAGGGCAAGTTAGTCTTACTCTGAAACCAAATCCAGACAGACAGTGAGATAATGATGTCAATATAACTCATAAACAAGGATTTAAAAAAACCTAAACCAAATAACAAAACGAAGTGGGCATTTTTAGACAGAGCATCGTGAACAGTTAGATTTACCCAGGAAGCGCTCGGCTGATGCACACTGAAAAAAATAAAATGATGGGACAGACAACAAACAAAGGGGGGACCCTATCATGTCTCAACAGAAGCAGAAAAGGGACTGGTAAGGTCACATCCATTGTGACAAAACAGAAATAAAAGACAAAGCTGCACCTCCTGGTTAGAAAGGGGCCTTCCTTCCCTGACAGCCATCTAACAAGCACCCCCAGTAAGCCTGTTTCTTGGTGAAAATGCTGACACACGCCCCCAGCGCCATTCTACACAGTAACATCCGGGAGGCCTCGGAGGTTCAGTAAGAAAAGGGACAGGTCAGGAATCAGAGGGGGGCCAGTGCACTGCAGGTGCTGAGGCTGTGAATGTAGAGAGAGAAGGCAGAACCTAGGCTCTTTTTGTTGGTTGGTAATCCTCACTGGAGGATACTTTTTCCATTGATTTGAGAGAGATTGGAAGGGGGGGGAGAAACATCGAAGGAGAGACATATTGATTGGTTGCCTCCCACTCCTATTCCAACAGGGCCTGGGAATCGAGCCTGCAACCCAGGTTCATGCCCCTGACCAGGAATTGAACCCTTAAACCTTCTGCCCCTGGGCTGGTGCTCTAACCCCTCAGCCAAACCGGCCAGGGCTAGATTCTTACTAGAATGAGAATTTGGCAAGGACGCTGGATACACAATATGCAAAAACCAACTTTTTTATGACAACAACAAACACATTAGTTAAGAAACACACCGTTTGTAACTTAAAACACAAAAAGCCCTTCCTAGCTAGCCTTGGGGGCGCCCTGATGAGTGCTAGCCTGTGGCTCCACAGCTCCTGGCCTTTGACGGGCTCACCTCTCCTGTGCTGGCCTAGGACAGAGGCCTCATCTGGCTCCTGGCTTTAAAACTAGGGTTAAGGATCCTGCTGGCCCTGGGTGGCCACCCAGGAAGTGTCTGGTCAATCAGCCTCAGGACCTTTTCCTCTCCTTTCCATACACAATTCTTCAGACCTCGAACACAGCTCAGCATCCCTTCCTGCTCTCATGGGCTCCTGTACCTCACCTTTGCCAGTTTTTACTTTCCACGGGTTGGGGGACTACATCCCTTGGTGAATGCACACCCAGGGCAGCAACATAGTCGGGTTTCTCAATACTCACTAGAGCAGAGTCCAGTACCAGGAGTGTGGCAAATGCCACCCTGAACTGCATTTTATCTGACCATCGACAACAGGAGCCCCAGGCACCCAGCAGGCCAGCTTCTCTGAGCTCTGAGGAACACTCACTAGGCAGAGGCAAAGGGTTATCTCTGCCCTCACCAACTCTGGGAACCCCTGGCTGTCTTCAGCAACACAGGCACTGTTCACCTGGGGCACTGCTTGGCACCCATGCCCGTGTGGAGGGCAAGCTCTGTGTCTGGGTGGCCAAGGTGGGGTGCACTGCAAGCACCAACCTCACTTCTCAGCCTGAAGCGTCTGATTGATTAGGGAGTCCAGGGCTGGACTGCGGTTCTGGACACAGAATGCTCGCTCAGGAAGGGCCTGGTGCCTGCTGGTGTCTGGGTGGGCAGCCAGATAAGCCATTTCCCCGCACGCGCACACACACACACGAAACACACTGCACGTGAGGCAGACGGAATCACACACCTTGGGCAAGAGGAGAGAACTGATCCAAAGAGCAAAGGCGGACGAGGAAGCTATCTGGTTCAAATTACGTTTTATTTCCATCTGTAACACTAGCAGAGGGTCCAAAACAGACTGGTGCAGACGAAGTGCAACTGTAACAAAGACAGACTTGGACTATGTACACCGAGGGGGGAGGGGCCACACCCACCTTTTCCTACTTGGCAGTTTCTGAACAGCAGAAACTGAACACTGTCTCCCAATTTAATGCAGAAGTACACTTTCATGATCAACCGTCTGTCCTTACACACAAAACGAGGTTCTGGCTGCGTGGTCATCCTGGCTCTTGAAGTCTGGGTACTGTTAGCACGTAACAGGAGAGCCTTCCCATGAAGCCCAGAAGAAACGCAACGGCAACCACGTCCAGTGGCTCGGAGGGCAGGCACCCAGCACACACCACTGATGGACGCTGAGGTCCTGCCCTCCTCCACCCCAAGTAGAAAACTACTCCTTTCATTCAAACTAACTGGAAGTGAGCCAAACAGCTAAAAAGTCAGAATGAAGAATAAAACTTTTCACAGAAGAGGGACACTCCTTCAGCCCCGTTAAAGTGAACTGTGCCAAGTCCTTGCTCCTTCAGAGGGAAACTGAAGGCCAGTTATTGCTGCAAAGCCAGAAGCCCTCTCCCCCATGAAGATGCTTCACACACAGGCTGTTGTCTGGCTCGAGGCCTATGAGGAGGGCTGCGGAGGTGGAGGAAGGCTGGCACCGCAGGCCTCCCCCACTGTCACCCCCAAGCCCTGTGCGTTAGTGGCAGCTCAGCCACCTGGAGGACCCGAGGCTCTCACACGCCTGCGGAGTTGAGCAGAGGGTGTTACCTGAGCCCCTGGGCAAGGAGAGGCCACTGAACTTTGCCAACCAAAATCTAAGGAGAAGTCAGAAGTCCAAAGGATCAAAGCCCAAAGGGCCAGAAGAACAGCTTCTGAGATGACAGTGGTGGGGTGGGTGAGAAGGCCAAGGCAGGCAGCTCGTCAGGCGGGCCGAGCTCTCAGACATAGGGAGGCTGCGGCTGGGGCAACAGCGTGGACATGGGCTGATAAGGCCACAAATACTGCCCTGCCTTCCAGTGTCCACACTTGAGGAGACATCGGGCAGCGGGAACTGAGGACCAGAGGGCACATGGTGAACTGGATGGATTTTATCAGAAAGGAGCAGACACCCGACCATAGGCCGGCCCTGTTTACCTTGCGTGGTCCCTGCCAGGTGGAGAACTCTGGGCCTTGGTCAGGTCCTGAGAACAGGTGGTGACAGACAGGGCGGGGCCTGAGGGAGACTCACAGTGCCGCATCTCCTGGGCTGAGGAGGCGGCAGACGGGCTTTATTGCACGTTTCATCCTCAGGGACTCAGACACGGCCCTGCAGAGGCTCTCAGTCTGCAGAAACCCCTGCATGTCATCGCTAAGGTGTTGGCAGAGTCACCAGGGACTCTCGGGAAGAGAAGAGTCCAGCGGCTGGTCCTTCCGGGGTTGTATCTGGCTTGGTCACTGTGGCGGGCAGAGGCCTGGGACGAGGTAGCATGCCCGCGAGAGCTGGGCGGACCTGCTTGAGCTCTGACCAGGGCCAGCTCCTTGACGACACTGCCAGGAGGAAGCTGGGCAAACATTCCAATGGGGAAACTTCTTGGCAAATGTGCAGGTCCTGGAAAGAGGCTGGAACCCTGCTTCTCAACTCCAAGGTGCTCAACTCCTCTCCTACCCTGGAACCCGGCTGCCCCGAGGAGCGGGACGCAGACCCCGGCCCAGCAGGACTTTAGCTCCCGCTCTGAGGCTTCAAGCTAGAGGTAACGAGAGGATCTCAGAGGGGCTGGAAACAAAGGAGCATTTACATATCGGGCCTTGGTTTTAAATAGTCTTTTGAGCTCAGGAAATTGGAGGCAGATAACCCATGGAGGCTGCATGACAGCCCACTGGGCTGTTGCTGTCTGCCTGTCTCCTGGGCAGCTCTCACCACGTCATATGTAAATGGGGTGATAGCGTTTGTGGCTCATCTTCTTCCTGCAGGTTGGGCAAGTGTTAGCGGTCTTGAGGGAATCTCGGAGGCACTGGCTGCAGAAGACGTGGCCACACTCTGTAGAAACAATGACACGTCCATTCTGCACAATCTAAAAAACAGAAAAAGGAATAGCCGTCACATGTGCCCGTCCCAGAGCAGCAGCTGTCCCCAGGGAATCCCACTTGCGCCATCCTGGCGGTGATAGGTAAGAGGCAGGGAAAGGCAGGCTGCAGCAGGGGCAGGGCAATGGTCTGCAGAACTAAACCTGAGCAGCTAGGCTCCTGGCAGCGGCAGCCCAAGGGGGACCAGGCACCAGAACCCACAGGTCTAGAAAAGTCAAGGCTGCTGTGTGGGCACACGGTGGGGCAGTGCTGCAGGCCTCAGGGGCCATAGTGAACGGGGGGATCTTCTGCCTAGGTCAGAAGAGGGAACACAAAGGGCTGACTCAACTGCACAGGGAAGCGCAGGAACACGGGCCAGCATTGGAAGCTGCAGGCCCAGAAGCCGACACTCTCTCCCTTCACACACAAACGACAAACCATGTGCCATCCAGGCGGGACTGAAGAAAGCGGTCCAATCCGACCTAGCAAGAGGGTTCTCGCTAATCTCTTTCCCTCACTGAAGCAGTGTGGAAGCCAGAGCGGGAAGTGACAGCTGGGAGTGCTTACCTCTGAGTATCCATCCATGCAGATCGGACAACTGACTGTACCGGAGGGCCTAGAATATAGTGCTTCATGTTAGTGCTGCAGCCAATGCAGACATCTGAGTGACTGCTCACGCTAGGGGCTTCCTATGTGCAGCCATTCCCCTCCAAGAGACTCCTCCGACCCTGCCTTAACCGAGGACCCAGGGACTTACAGGAAGGCCAGCTACCCCAACGGGGTCAGCAGGGCCGCAAGAAAAAGGGGGAGATTAGAAGGTGCAGACAACCTGAGTCACCGTGTCCTTCCCACATGGCCCAGCCTCTGCCCCGTTAGCCCCCCTCCATCCTGCTGGTGCCTAGCACGCCTTGGTCATGGTGGGAACAGCTGAGCCCTGCTCTGGACCAGCCCCACCTGCACACAGCCACCAGGCAGATGCTTCAACAAGCCCTCCCCGGACCATGGCTCAGAGGCCCACTGTTTCCAGCACCTACCACCCTCCTCACTGGGAAATTAAGGGGGAAAAGGACCCGACTCCAGGGGCCAGGGAGGTCCCGCATGGCCAGAGGCTTCCTGGTGAGAGAACCTGTCCCCAGGACGGCAGCAGGAGGGTGATGGGCATGCAGGTACCTGAGCCCTGGAGCTGTCTCTTCCCTGGTGTTTCTGGGAGTGTGTGTGGTCACATACACGTCTCTGTCCCTGGACAGCTCCTCGTCATCACTGCTCACCACACAGCTGTCAGCATGGTCCTGGCGCTGCCTCCTAGGGTTCCTCCTTGGCCGCCCCCTTTCTAAGATGTGAGTCCAGACTCAGGAGAAGGGCCTCCCCAGCCCACTACCCTTCTTCCCCACCATGGAAAGGCCAGTCCCAGACCCCAGAGAGATCTGCTGCCACACCCCAGGAGATCCTGCCCAGCCCACGGAAGCCCATCCCTGGCCATGTAGGCAAATGCCGGAGTAGTGGGGGTGAAGCCCAGTGCTAGGGATCAGTTTCCTCTACTGGCATAGGCTCAACCGGCCAATCTGACCACAGCGTCATCTCAGGTGTCCTCCCACCTGGCCTTCTGACACCCCACCTCATGTCAGCTGTCCATCCAAACCCAGTGAAAAAGGAAACCACTCACCATCAACAATCTTTAAAAAAGGAAAAAAAAGAGAAAAACACAATCAGTTTGACATAAAACATTCCATGTCTTCTGAATGCATAAATGACAATGCTGAAGCATTTATTTCAAATGCAAAACCCATCCCCCTCTTTTCCCCACCCCCCTGCTGTGGCGTGGGGCAGGCCTCTGCCTCCCTGCAGCTGCTGCAGAAAATCTGTGGGGGCTGCTGGCCATGTGACCCCAGGAAGTTACTTTACCCTCTGGAAGCCACCAACTTCCTCTTGTAAGAACAGAGCCAAAACAATGCCCACCACTCACCTCGCTGTTGTGAGGACTAAGGGAGACATGGCCTCGGCCACAGGGCACCAGGGACACAGAGCCCAGGACTAGCTCCACATGCTCACCAATGACAAGAATCTGACTCCATGCGGCCTGCTGCCAAGAATGGGGACTTGACTGGGATGAGGGTGTGCAGTACTAAACACGCTCTCAACAAGCAAACGCAAGCCGCGTACAGGGACTGACGAGAGCGCACACACCCAGGCCTGGGCTGAACTTGCAGTCCTGTGTTCTGGAGGCCACAAAAAACCTGACTGAGACCTGGACGGGCCTCCCAACTACTCGGAACTTACATCCACACCCGTTTTGCTACAATGGCTTCCAGCCAGGCCACAACTCTCTCTGAGTTACCGGCCATGTGTCTACAGGACCTGCAGTGGCCACGCTCCCCCACAAGTCGTGGGCGATCTCCTTCAGGACAGCCTGCTGCCCTCCCCTCACTGACCCTGGCTGGCAGCTCCCACACTGGGTTCAAGGCAAGATGCTGGAGTTATTCCTAGAGACCTGCTCCTCCAGCTTTTCACGCAGAGTGACTGCTCCCATGAATACAACCCATTTCTGCTTCAGAACAACTGGAGTGGACCCTAATGGGCACAAACAACCATCCCAGGAAGCAGAAGCATGAAGCCCACACATGGGGCTACTGAAGCCCCTCCCCCAAGAGGCTGCAGAGTGTGATGAGGAAATTGGGAGGCATCAACCTCACTGCGGGGGCCATTTACTGGGAGACACAGTTGGCTGGCAGAGGGGCTGTCCACATGAGTCCAGAAGAGGGAGAAGGAGGTCTGCTGTGGACAGGATGACCCCAACTTTCCAGAGCACAGATGGGCCATACTCGGGGGGGATACATGGGGACAGGACAGAATGCCACTAGCTCCTGGCAGTGTGAGGGAACAGGTCCCCACAGACCTGGTACAGAGCAGGGGCTCCACACATAGCTACCAGAGAGCCTCTCTCACCAGGATGACTGACTGTCCCAATCTTCAACAGGAGAACACAGTGCCCCAGCCTGGCCTCCCGGCGCCCCTGCCACCTCCTAGCACTCCCTCCACCCATCGGCTGAACCACATCATTTCAGAATCCCTGTGGTGTGACTGTCTGCTCTCTGCAATGTCCCTCCTCCTGGCTGTAGCCCACAGGTAGCACAGTACTCGCCTGTCAAGAGACAGGCCAGGGAAGAGCACCAGGGCTTCAGAAACATGGACAGCAGGAGCAAATCGATGGGACAAGGACAGCACAAGCTCTGGCGCCTCTCCTCTGGCCAAGAGGCCTTTAAGAAACAAATACTGCCTGGCTGGGCGTGGCTCAGCAGTTGAGCGTTGGCCTAGGATCCAGGAGATTGTGGTTCGATTCCCGGTCAGGGCACATGCCAGATTGCGGGCTCAATCCCCAGTCGGGGGCGTTCAAGAGGCAGCTGATCAATGACTCTCTCATCACTGATGTTTCAACTCTCTCTCTCCCTCTCTCTGAAATCAATAAAAATATATTTAAAAAAAGAAAGAAACAAATACCAAACCAAAACAACAGGCATTCAGTCACCTGGCCTGACCAGCAATCAGAACTGGGGCAAACTGGTCCAGATTAGCAGTCTGGCTTCTCCCTTGGCCACAGACTAAACCACAGGTCAGAGAAGATGGAGACACCTGGAAAACATGAACAAGCAGCAGGCACCTGGTGCTGCTTTCTTTCACACCTGGGCACACTGACCCCAGACAGGTCACCCTTTAAGCTTCCAAAGCACAGGTGAGCCTCAAAACACTTACAAGTGCTGACACCCATGTCACAGGCTCCTGATCAGTGCCTCTTAGGGCTGTAGCAACATCTGGGGGTGAACGACAGGGTAGAGCAGAGCAGCAGGAACCACTGGGGTCCTCTGTACCAGCTGGCCCCCAGAATTATTGAGGATGCCTGCTCCCCAACCCAGAGCTCAGAGCTGCTTGCTCTAGGCAACCTTGTTCCACTGGAAAACACAGTCACACCCAACAACCACTGGGCCCACCAAAGGCTGCTCTTTCCACCCAGCAGTTGAGTATATTCCGCAATGACAGACATCGCACAGGGACAGATCGCTGTTCCTGGGGCACTGCCAGGAGAACTGCAAAGACAGGAAATCCACATCTGTGTACTACTGTTTCCCCAGGCCTGGCTGCGCTGCCCAGCTTCTTTCTTCATCTATGACTACATTGGCTCACTCACGCTGTTACTGTGTGCCCCTCATGCCATTACTACTAGACAGAAACGAACAGGGCTCTATCCCTGCCCGCAGGAGCCTCGTGAAGCATATCCTTTCAATCGTCTCATAATTGGGAAACCAGGCGCAGTACAGACACAACACAAACAGCACCATTCATCCGTGCCCTAAAGAAACAGACCACATAAAGATCCTGAGAAGACCAAACTGACTTTAAATAAACAATCTTTTCAAGTTCAATGAAGGAAGAATCGAGGCAAGCCCCATTTTCAATAACCTCCCGGTAAAGACTCCATTTCCTAAGAGGAACTAGTCTCTCTCCAGCAGAGCAGATGCGGGCAGCTGCATGCCAGGGGAGCCCAGGAGAAAGCAGGAGGGAAACACAGAGGCGTTTCCAGTAAATGCAGGCCAGTGTTTCTATCGATCTTCCCACTGAAAACAACAAACAAGGTAAGGCATATTTTAAAATAAAGACTATCAGGGAAAAGGTAACAGATCAAAAGTAAAGGGAACAAAATAACCTAGATGAGGAAACAACAACAACAAAAAGCCCGGCAGATTCTTAACACACGAGGCGTGCTTCAGAAAGCCCCAGAGAACCCAGAGCCTGGGAGCCACGGGCAGGTCGTCCACGAAGCCACCCCAGCAGGCAAGTGTCCCGCAGTCTCATCCAATGGCCAAGGACTCACAGGCAGAATGTTCTTTTTGACTAGTAATATAAAAAGTGAGTAATAAAACATTTTAAAAAGAAAGAGAAGTTAAAAAATACAATTTAATAAGTACACTGAACTGAGCATAAAATACCAATAACAAAATCTGTAGGCCACAGCTAAAGAAAATATAATCTTAAATACATTTACTGGAAAAGAAATGGTCAAAATTATTAACTTAGAAAAACAGCAAAATAAACTCAAACAGAAAAATAATCAATGAACAAGAAAGGGTCCATATAAAGCTAAAAGCTGGCTCTCTGAAAGATCTAACAAAGCCCTGGTGAGACTAGTGTAAAAAGAGAGAAAACACAAACAGCCTGTATCAGAAATGAAGGAGGCATCACTACAGATCCACACAACATAAGGCATATGAACAAAATGGATGCCAAAAACAGTGAAAATTTTAGATGAAACTGACAAATTGCCAAAAACTATAATCACCAAAACTCATTAAAACTTTGGGTTAGGTACCGTCACTCTGGAGTTCTACCAGTCAGGAAAGAAATAATTCCAATTGGGCAAAATCTTCTGGAGAACACACAAAAAGGGAGGGCTAAAGATACCAATACTCTGATATGGAAACTCTGCAATGTGCGTGAAGAAAAACTGCAGGCCAACCAGTCTTACTCATAAAAGTAGATGCAAACGTAACATAGTATAAAATATTAGGAAACTGAACCTAGCAATAGACAAAAAGATAGCTTCGTGACCACAATGTTGAATCGGTTTAAGACTAGAAACCAACTTAACTCTCCACTTGAAACCTGTAGCCTAACAGGAAACAGAGCCCTCTCTCCAACCTGATAAAAGGTGTAAACAAACACACACCTTACAGCAGAGGTCTTATGAAAGGTGAGACTTTGAAAGGATTCTTTCAGATTTGGAAACAAGAATGTCACCCTTTTCATTAGGGGGAGGGGAGGGGAGGGGAGGGGAGGGGACTTTAAAACACCATTTTTTGCCCTGGCCAGTGTGGCTCAGTTGGCTGGAGCATTGTCCCATTACAGAAAGGTTGCCCGTTAAATTCCCAGTCAGGGCACGTACAGAAAGGCACCGAAGGATGCTTGCTCTCACATCGACGTCTCCCCCCTCTGAAATCAATACCTTTGGGTGAGGATAAGACAGCAGCAAACCCTCACCATGTCAACAGCAACCTAAACAGTGCATAGAGGGACATGGGTTCTAACAAGGCTTGCAGAACCACCCAGGAAGCATTCTAAAACTTTAATAAGAGGTATTAATGACCCCATCTCAAACCATACGCAAAAGTCAAAAGTCAGTTCACATGGGTTATACACCTAAACGTGAAAGGCAAAACTCTCAGAATACTGGAACATATTTTTACAATGAGATTTTCTTCTGACAAGCTGATAACTTCAACCGTGTTTAAATTAGAAGCCTCTGTGTATAAGTCAAAACGAGAAAGGCAAGCCTCTGAGTAAAAGGTACAAAATATAACAAATGGTAGTCTCATATTCAGAACTTACTTAAAATTCCTAAAATATAAAACAGGAAAACTGAGCAGAAAAAATTCACTGTTAAAAAAAAGATGAAGGGGATGCGTTGTTCTAGCTGAATTTTTTCAGCTACTTTAAAAGTTCTATATACTTTTATGGGATAAATTTGTAAAAACAAAACAAAACAAAAACCTTAAAAAATAATTCAAAAGGCGCTATACCAACAAGGAAAATGAACCACCAATAAACGTGAAAGGTGTTCAACCCCAACAGTAACCAGGAAAACACAAACTAAATCCACCATGGGGTGCTACTAGGTGTCAAGGGGTAGAGTAGAGGGAACCTCCACCACCACCCCACACACACACTGGTACAGCCTCTTTGGAAAATAGGACTTAATCTCGTAAAAATCAAAGATATACACACCCTGGGACCCAGCAGTGACAGCCTTTTTTGGGTACGCAATGCCAAAAATAAGTCAGTGTTGTGCAGCCACAGTGGTTTAGTTGGTTGAGCGTTGTCCTGTGCACTGAAAAGGTTGCTGGTTGGATCCCTAGTCGGGGCATGTAGGGAAGGCAACCCATCGACGTTTCTCTCTCTCTCTCTCTCTCTCTCTCTCTCTCAGCATGTCCTCAGGTGAGGATAAAAAAAAGTGTTGCCCGGCCGGGCGTGGCTCAGCCATTGAGCACTGACCTAGGATCCAGGCAATCAGGGTTCGATTCCCGGTCAGGGCACATGCCCGGTTGCGGGCTTGATCAATGACTCTCTCATCATTGATGTTTCTATCTCTCTCTCTCCCTCTCCTTTCCTCTCTCTGAGATCAATAAAGATATACTTAAAAAAAAAAAAATTTTCTAAAAAAAAAAAAAGTGTTGAGGGAAAATGACAAAGCAGGGATGTGCAAAGCCTCATTGCTTCCTAGAGCACTTTTTATTTCTCCTAATCAGTGGGCTGTGACTTCCTCTGAGAGGGAAACAGAGTCTGTATGCAGTCTCTGAAGCCTCCCTGGACATGGTGTGCAGGGGCTGGGTTTAAAAACAGCTAGTCCCCAGGACGTCACAGGGTGGGTGTGCCACCAACAGGGGCCAGTCATTGTCACCTGGAGGGCACGGAGTGGACAGTCTTGAGAGCAGAACCCTGGCTCAACCCCAGGGCCGGGCATACTGAACATGGGATAAAATAAGAACCTGGCATCACTTTAAGTGTTAATCAGCAACGAAGCTGCAGGCTGAAGCCAAGGTGCCATATTCAACTACCTTTCCAGGACCCCAGGGTGCCACAGGGACTAGCAGCCAAGTTGTGTGACACACGGACTTCAGAACACTGACCATGCCCACTGACTTCTCTCACCAAGTCCCAGCTCCTTTCGGGGAAACTGCAGCTTCTCTTTAGCAGCCAGCGACCCTAAGCTCTCTTCTGCTGCTGGGGCAGTATGGTAGCTTGGTAAGGGCCACTGCCTTTTCTTTGGGATGGGGCTCAGGGACAGGACAACACAGACATGGGCACAAGACAAGACAGTCCAGTGCTTTCAAACCCAGCCAGGGTCTAAACCTCTGAATCTGTGAGGATAGTCTCATTCTCACCCTTTCCTTTTTAAAGCCATCACAATAACCCAAGACTCATGGGCCACAAGGGGAGACTCGGCTATGAGCAACCCCCACTAACCTCACAGTACCTGCTGCCCACCTGCACAACACAATCAAACGTCACAGTCTCCGCAAACTGCACCGTTACCAAAGGTGCTAAAGAGGTGTCCTGGAAAGAGGTGAGCTGCCCAGGATGTGGGCCTGTGGGCTGACCAGACTCATCCCCCACATCCTGACCAGCCTAGGTCTCCTCCCCTAGGGCAGCACTCCCTGCCAGAGTCCAGACCTAGTGCCACAGGAAGGGGGCACCAGCAGCCTCCCAGGCTCCACCCTCCCTGGAGTCACAACACAACCAAGGCACCAGGTGGCAACACCAGGTACCTGCATCCTCCAAGGCAGCTTCTCTGGGAACTGGCAGCACTGAGCAAGCACTCCTGTTCGCCAGCTGGGGCACACACTGATATTCACTGGGCACCACCCCAAGTGCCAGGCACTCAAGGCCAGCATCTCTTTTAGTCCTCACAACAACCTATGGATCAGTCGGCATGTCCCCACTCGACAAACAAAATGAATGAGGCTCAGTGACTTGCTCAGGGTCACATGGCTGGGGCAAAGTGTGGAGTCAGGGATAAAGAGAGAAGGGCCAGAGTTTGCCCCCAAGAGCTTTTGTGCCCACAGAGGGAAGGTAATAGACACACAGGTTTTCCATCCATAGGCAACAAAGCCAGTGAAACATCTGTGTTGGGCTCATCACCAAATGCACACATTTCTTCAGCATGAACCTAAACTGTGACCAAGGCCTTTAGACCTCGGTGCTGGCCAGGGGCCCAAACAAGAGCCAACTCCGACGGGAGTTCAAGGCTTACCACAACAGAGTCGTTGTGCGTCAGGTCGACGACCACGGGCTCTAAAGATTCACAGGTGAGGTCCACTATTTCATCTCCAGCTTCAAAACAAAGCATGTTAACAAACATTAGGAGGAAAGGAAAAGCATACACTCTCACTTCATTAACAAGAGGACAATAAAGCTCAGGCTTCTAGCAAACCCCCCCTGAAGCACAGAATCAAGAGCACGAGGACCAGCCCCTCTTCAGGGTGACAGCCCAAGAATGTGCTTCCAGAACCTGGCTGAGCGGCAGCACAGGGTTTTTACAAGCACAGCTCCATCCCTGTGGCCTCACTGCCACACGATTAGATCTCTGTGCCTTCACACCTGCTCCCTCACAGGGAAGAGGCAGTGACTTACAGGGAAGGGACCAGGCATGCTCAGCTCAGGGCTTTCCTCTTTGGGAAGGATGAGCCCGAAACCTCTGCTCCCCTCAGCAGGGGAAGCTGGTGGCTGTCAATTGCCCACAGATCTCAAGCCCTACTTAGCTCAGCACCTTCATCAGTTATGTTTGTTTTATTTATTTATTTTTAATTCTGACCCGAGGCTATTTTTCCCATTCACTGCTTTTTAGATAGAAACAATGATGTCAGAAAGACACCGAGCGGTTGCCTCCAACACGTGCCCCAACCGGGTCCAGGAATGGAACCTGCAGCACAGGTACATGGCCTTGACTGGGAATTGAACCTGAGACCCTTCAGTGCTCAGGCTGACACTCTAACCACTGAGCAACATCGGCTGGAGCCATCAGGTATGTTTTAATGGACCCCTGGGACCCCAACATGCCCAAATGGGTTGGACCAGGCCTGCAGCTTGCCTTTGAGCCCTAGGGTCCACTGCAGCATCCATATGAGCACCGACAAAGTAGGAAGGAGCACACATGCCCAACAGTTCCTGGCACTTATGTACCACAGTAAGGGCAGAGCACAATTCCAGTTCTCTAAGCCTAAAGACTTATACCCATTTTCCTCTGTTATTAACTTTAAAAAGCATGAGGGTAGAATTTTTAAAAACAGTATTTGTTTATTATTTGGGGGAAGTAACTTGTAATATATTTAGAATGCTCAAAATTGCTTTTATTTTCTTGTATTAAAAGTTTCACAGGAATAAAAAACACACTATATCAGAGATGTCCAATGTAATTTATACAAAATGACCTTGTTCTTTTCAAAAGAGTAGTCCATGTACTGATATACCACATTTACAGAACCATTTGTTCTCTTGCCGGTGGACACAGTTTTTGGCTCTTACACATAAAAGCGGGACTCACACGGCAGCTAGTGCCTGCAGTCCTGCATAATCAGTGAGACCGCCTGCTGGATGAGAAGTGTCCCGCCTCCCCAGGCCCCAGCCCTCTAGGAGACCCTCTGAGCCCTCCAGGAGACCCCAGGAGTACCCTCTGCACCAGCCTCCCCTAAAGAAGGGCAGGGTACAGACCCCAGGGCGACAGCTTTGGGGTGGGAGG